TACATGACTACGGCTGAGAATAGTTGAAGTATCAGAGACTCAGTAGAGAATCGCCACAAATTATCTTCAGTCACTTGTACGTGTCAGTGAGAAGAAATCTGTTCATACCTGTGATTCTGGCGTGAGGCCCAGTGTTGTGTTTCCTGTTTCCACACACTGTCAATACGAACTCACATAATGTAAATAAGACACTTTGATTTGTAAGAAGCTGCAGGCGACTGAAGTCAGACCCTGATAATGATCCTCTGACCCTCCTGAATATAAAACATGTTCTCTTCGTGGACAGAGTTTTATCTTTATGAAGAATAATAAGTTTATAGCATATATTGAACACTCATAGTAAAACTTGTATCTATATATATTAAAATATCTATGATTCATTTTTATATAATATAACATGTTGCGACCATATATGTTAATGTTATATATTTAATTTATATGTGCAGGTTTATTAAAACAACTTACATATAAAGATTCTATATGTTTATATATGTTTTCTTATTAATTATTATCATTAAATATTATTCATTTTTATTTCATTTTAAACATGTTTCTTTTTATTCTGTGAAAGTGTCTCAGACTTTTGGACTCTACAGTTTATAATATTAACATAAACTGAGGGCTTTGGGATGGATATATATCTATGTAACAAATGTCTACAATATAAGCATACACACATGTACATACATATTTGTATGAGTTAGACATTTATGTCAATATATATATATATCTATACGTTCTACAACAACGACTCTTCGAAATTGTAGGTTTTGTAAATTGATCCACTGAATCTCTTGATCGTTCAGTCACTTGTGGATTCAGTGAGAAATTGAAGTTACACAGTAAAGTTCAGTTAAACCGTCACTTTATCAAACATGCTATCAAAGCAAATACTGAACGATCTCACTGACAGACAAAGCTATCGGTGCCTGTGCACTATCAGGACAGGATAGCTGCTAAGTGGTGATAAGAATATCTTAATCAATAATCACAATTTATCTGAATTCAAATCAGGACGCTAACGCTAACTTTAGCTTTGTTTTTATTTCAGGTGATCAAGGATCAGGTGACATTTCTCAGCCGCCATCAGTGTTTTATGATTTCATTTTACTTCTACTTGTGCGCCTGATGCTGACGCTCTGGTTATGTATTAAGTGATGACTTTGATCCCTCCCTCTGAGGCCGATCTGAGACGTCGGGCAAAGTCGCAGCTCTAACTCATGGCTGTGCCGCACACACTAATATACAGGATGAAGATTTTCATTCATTTCATGAACAATTCATATTCATTTTCTGTGACTGTCGAGTGTTAATCTGAAACCTCGGAGCCGGACTCAGCTGCACCTGGTTTCTGCCATTTGAACATAAAAACCTGAGGCTGTTATTTTCTTGAAATCACGAGGTCAGAGGTTGACCTGTGGAACGTACAGGTATTACTCAGACTATTGTGCTGTTCACACAGAACCAGTTCCTCAGGTTGTGTTCTGTATTCTACTGACGGATAGGACTACCAAGCCTTTGTTCCACTGTCAATAACAACTGCATCTACAGTGAATGGGACAGAGGTGGACAAAGCACACAGAGCTTCAGTCAGGTGCTCAGATATGACTCCAATACAAGTGAAAGTTGTTCAGTCATATTTGTACTGGAGTTAAAGTACTGGAGTACTTCATTTTAAAATACTGACAGTTCTATGTTTATGTCAACTCATTGTTGTATTGTTCCACATTTACGTGGTAAACTCAGCAAACCTTTCAAACTAAATCTTTCTTTATTTCTAAAGCTTCAAACACAGACCTCAGATCAGATCAGGGTCTCTGTGAAGAATCCTCTGCCTCATCTTCATCTCACGTCGCCATCGTTAGGACACTGACAGATTCAAACATGGCTGACAGTGGAGAAGCTGGCTATGATTGGTTTTTCTCCTGTGATGAACAGTGTATGATCTATCAAATTTTCAAAATAAAATAAAATTCATTCCTCTGACTAAATGCTCCTGTGCTTGTCTTGAAGTGTAGAGGAATAAAAGTCAGAAGTTTCCCAGAAACACACAAAACTCAAATAAAGAACAGATACGTGAAAAATTGTATTCAACCACAAGTACTTCACTACTGTCCACCCCTGGAGCGGGACAGCACTATGTACTGTACAGTATCCAACAGAGACACAACTGAGCGGCTGTCCCTGCTGCTGCAGTGATGAGGCCTGAGCTGAGCAGAGGCCAGGTGTGCTCTTACCTTCTGACTGCTCAGACGAGGCCGGCCTCTTCTTCCTCATTGACCGGTAGAAGCGGGAGTTCCTGCGGATTGGCTCTCTGCTGAAACCGACTCTGGACTCATCCTCGTCATCCTCGTCCTCGTGGCTGGGGTGAGCCACGGCCACTGGATGCTTCTCTGGGGGTTCCTGCGCCTTCTGCCCCCACTTGCCCCTGAACAGGGCAGTCACAGACATGGCACTGCTGTGATTTTGTGAGTTAGGAAATTTCTGTTTGACTTTGAGGAAACTGGCAGAAAGAAATCTGTCATAATTAACCAGAATCCAGGAACAAATCCATGTCTAAGAATGAAAAATAAAATCTGGTGAAAAATAAATCCCAGTACAAGAGACTGGGAGCAGAGAAGTGCTGGGTCTCCCTGCCGTGTTGTTAGCTACACCGGCAGCCTGCGTAGCTTATTTCTGCCTAAGCTGTAATTATTGCATTTATGACTCTCTCTCTCTCCTGCTCGTTGTCCCTCCCCCGTCCCTCTCTCTCTACACCGCCCTGTTATGTGCTGACATTCCTGAAGTCAACCTGGCCTTGCCAGCCCGCCTGTCTCTGCTCTGTAACTCTGCTGTGGAACCTGAAAAGCCACCTGATGACGAACGACAGGCTGTGTCTGCTCTCACTGCGGAGCTCTCTGATCCCAGTAAAGGTTCGATCAACCTCTGCAGACGCTGGCTGTTGTTTCCTCTGAGTTACAGCGCTGCTGAGCCAGGGCCCCACACAGGAGCTGATCTGCAGTCAGCTGACCAGGGGAGTTTAAAGTTCACATCAGCAGTGAGCTGCTGAGCCACCTTTCAACAGGACGGAGAAACAAACAGCAAAACGTCTGAACGTCCCTCCTCCTGCTCCTCCTCCTCCTCTGTTTGACTGTGGTAATATTCAGTGTAAAAACCATTCACCTGCGGCTGTCTACGGTGGCCCAGAGAGCTCAACACAACACAAATACACAAACACAAACAAACACACAAACACACTCCAAGTAAACACAACACATGTACACACACACAACACAAACAAATACACACAACACTTGTAAACACACACACTTGTAAACACACACACAACACTTGTAAACACACACAACACATGTAAACACACACAACACAAACAAATACACACAACACTTGTAAACACACACAACACAAGCAAATACACACAACACTTGTAAACACACACAACACTAAACACACACAACACTTGTAAACACACACACAACACTTGTAAACACATACACAACACTTGTAAACACACACAACACTTGTAAACACACACACAAAACTTGTAAACACACACAACACATGTAAACACACACAACACATGTAAACACACACAACACAAACAAATACACACAACACATGTAAACACACACACAACACTTGTAAACACACACAACACATGTAAACACACACAACACAAACAAATACACACAACACATGTAAACACACACACTTGTAAACACACACAACACTTGTAAACACACACACAACACTTGTAAACACACACAACACATGTAAACACACACAACACAAACAAATACACACAACACTTGTAAACACACACAACACTAAACACACACAACACTTGTAAACACACACACAACACTTGTAAACACACACAACACATGTAAACACACACAACACATAAAAACACACACAACACTAGTAAACACACACAACACTTGTAAACACACACAACACTAAACACACACAACACTTGTAAACACACACACAACACTTGTAAACACACACAACACTTGTAAACACACACAACACTAAACACACACAACACTTAACTTAACTTAAGTAAACACACTGGGGTCGTCACGTTTTTTTCGATGTCTGAACATTCGTTTGAACGTGGGGTGAAGAGTTCATATTGGAGCTGTAATGATATGAGAAATTAGGTCGGACCGTTTGGCTTGACTATTGGTTCCATGTTTTGCCTCGCTACATTTTTAGTTCAAAGGTGAGGGAGCTCCCTCCTGTTGTCTGTCCCACTGTGTGTTCTGTGTTACTGCACAGGCACGTTGACACTATGAGTTTCATTGAATCAAAAGTGCGGCATTCAAATTAATTCAAACAAATTGCGGGTAAATTAAAATTCGTTCGATCTTGATTCTTTGAAACAGTGACAGAACTAAAATACACACAACACAAGCACTCTGCCTTACAGCGGCTCGTGTCTGTCAGGGAGCCAAAGGCCGACTGTCACACTGGATCTACAGGTGTGTGACTTCACTGTGGTCCACACACCAGGGGCTCAGCATGAGATAACTGACGCACTCTTGTCTCCCTTGCGACGCTGATGGCTGGATGTGAAATGTGCAGTTGTGGGCCCAGATCTAGATCCAACCAGCCATGGACTGGGGGGACAAACAGGAGACACATGGTGGTGGTGCCTGGTCACTTTGGTGTCACCAAGACACTACACTTTCTCCCACAGGGGTTCCACAGGGCTAGCATAGGCAGGATGTGGCCGCTGTGATAGTTTCCCAGACAGATCTCATGTTCAACTCCAACAGTTTGCAGCAGGGTGGCCCCTGGAGAGAGAGGGGACTGATGTCCCTGCACAGAGAAGGGTGACTGCTACATCCTCACTGCCATGGACTATTTCACTGGGTGTCCTGTTGCCTGCTGAACCAGGAGGCAGAGACCATAGTGGATGCACTGGTGCAGAGATTCGGGATACTTGAAGTCATTCACACGGACCAGGACAGAAACTTGCATCCTGTGCAGCCATGTGTGAAAAACTGGGCTCCCTCAAGACCAGCACCACACCCCTCCACCCTCAGAGGGATGGGTTGGTTGACTGCACACTGACACAACAGCTGGTAATAGTGACTGCTAAACACCAACGGGACTGGGATAACCATGTCCCCCTGGTGTTAATGGTGAACCCTCCTGTGGCCCAGGACTCCAAAGGCAAATGACTACGCTACAAGGCTCCAGGACCACTTGGACTTCGCCAAAGGCCACCTGCGGAGTGCAGGAGCAAAGCTCGACAACAGGTGGGTGGGATCCTTGTGTACAGGGTCAGGGTCTGTACTTGTACCTGAGTAACAATTTTCCAGAACTCTTTCCACCCCTGGTGGCAAGAAACATGAATCACATGCATTCATTGATTTCATAAAAAAAAATTAAATCAAAGAATTCATTTGGTCTCAAGAATAAAGTGATTATATTTTGGTTCTCCAAAGGTCAGAGGTCAAGGTCACGGAGATCTCACAAAACATGATTTTGGCCTTGTGAACACAATATCTCGAGAACTCTTCAAGGGAATCCCTTTGCATTTGGAACAAATGTCCCCTGGGACTCGTGGACGAACTGATTAGATTTTGGTCATCAAAGACCAAACGTCAAGGTCACAGTGACCTCACAAAACCCTTTCTCACACAGCAATTATGACAAAATTTCACACAAATGGTTAATATTTTATGATTCTGGATAAATGGGGATGTAACCTGAAACTCTGAGTGGAGGAGGCAGACAACCACAAGGTGGTAATTCTAGTTTGTATTTAATTTATTATTACTGTAGTAAAACAACATTACGGAGTCTATGACTTCACCAGAGAAAAAACTCCCCCCTCAAAGTTTGAAGCAGTTCTGATTGGATGGCAGAGTGAGGTATATTTGTGGGTGGTGCCTCTGCTGCGTCTTTTCTTACAAGACTGAGATCACCAGTGTGTTTCTCCCCCTCAGCACACACCTCTGCTGCAGTTGTGGTGTCTATCTCTCTCTGCTGTGGTTTTGTCATCTGTCTTTGGGTTTATGATGAGTGACCTGTCTCAGGACCAGCACTGTTTTCCAGGCTCTAATGCCTCGTGTGTTATGGCTCAGTTCAGCTTGGGGGCCAGGATTAGCCTTTATTTGTTGTTTGCTTCAGGCATACTGGTCACTGTTTTAGGGAACGGTGTTGTCATTGTGTCGATAGGTCATTTTAAGCAGCTGCAGAATCCCACCAATGTGCTTGTTTTATCTCTTGCTCTTGCCGACCTTCTTGTGGGAGTTATTGTGATGCCCTTCAGCGCCATTCGGACCGTTCATGGCTGCTGGTTCTACGGTGATGACTTCTGTCAGTTGCATTCTAGTTTTGACATGTTTCTTACCACTGTATCTATCTTCCACCTGGTCTGCATTGCTGTAGACAGACAACAAGCAATATGCAATCCTTTGCATTATTCCAGGAAAATCACAATGTCAGTGGCCTGTATTATGGTCTATGTGAGCTGGGCACTGGCTGCTCTTTACTCCTATGGACTACTTTACTCAAAGGCCAACGTAGCAGGATTAGAGGAGTATATGGTGTCAATAAACTGCCTTGGTAGTTGTAACCTTCTCTTTAACCCCCTTTGGGGAATCCTGGACAGTATTACTGCCTTCTTTTTTCCCTCCACTGTAATGATTTGTCTGTACACTAAAATATTTATTGTGGCCAAAGAGCATGTAAGAAAGATCGGAGATATGAGCCACTGTTCCAGTGACAGAGGAAGAGGTGGGTTGGTTAAACAGTCTGAGCACAAAGCTGCGAAGACTCTGGCTATTGTGCTCGGTGCATTCATCTTATGTTGGATGCCCTTTTTTATTAACTCTATAATAGATGCCTACACTGGCTTCATCACACCTGCTGCTGTCTTTGAGGCATTTGTTTGGTTGGGTTACTTCAATTCAACCTTGAACCCAGTTATTTATGCCTTTTTTTATCCTTGGTTTAAGAAATGTTTTTATCTCATTGTCAGTCTGAAAATATTTGACCCCCATTCTTCAACCGTAAAGGTGAATATACGGACACATTGATGACAGTACTGTCTCTATATTTGCATTAAGAGCAGGTTTAAATGCATCTGTTGTTTTAATGGTGATTTTTTAATCAGAGTTTTGAGGATGAGAGTTTCTGTTTCCCCCTAACATCTTTTTATTTTACTGCCACTGATCTCTGTAGCATTAGCACAAGTGCTACATGTTCATTATTATTATCTTTATTTAGCTTTTGGTGATGTTGAATAGCTACACTATCAAAGATGAAATGTTTTAATGTTCTTAAGCATTTTATTTGATTTCACTATTAAATTTGATGTTATTACAGTAAAATAATTACATGATGAATTTAATTGTTTTTATGACATCATATATATTTACTAGTGGAGTTACTATGAACAGCTGCTTTCAATTGTTATAATTTGCTGCTGTTGAACCTTCAGTAAAATAATCTGATAAAACAATGACATCAAATCATCCTACACTCAGTCAGTCTAATACAACAGTCCTGCAACAAACCCTCCTCCATGAAGTTTAATGTTCAGTTTGTGTTGAATCTGTTTCATGATTATTGTGGAGGCTGCAGTTTGTGTTGCTGCTGAAGTGTTTAGTTATTTTGTCCTCCCTGTTTATATCAGTGACAGTAGGTTAATAACAGAAACTCTTCTCTGTAGAATGTGAAACAGTTCAACTCTAAAACAGTGTCAATAGAAACTGAACATTAGAGCCTTCATGAAGGAGGATTTACTGCAGCACTGTGGAGTCAGACTGCTTTAGTTTCAGCTCGGTGTTCCTAATAAACTGAGTGTATGGTGTGCACACGATTTGCACAGTTAATTAATGAATTACTTGAAATTGAATTAAAAAGGTAAAAGAATGACAGAAAGAAATGTTGGTATCTGCTGACACCAACCTGATACCGTCTGTTTCCCTCTGTTCAACATCTGAGCTGTTAATAAAACATTTGTCTGGATGCTCTTTGCTTAAACCAGCTCTAAAAATATCATGCTCAAACTGTGAAAGGAAGATTGTACTTCCCTAAAGGGAGAAATAACTGACCCACAACACGACTCATTCATGCAAGAATGCTGCTTCTTTCTGTTTAAACTGGAGAATTTACAATAACAGAGGAATTTTGATTCCAGTGTAAAATACTGTAAGTCAACACTGAACCTCAGTGACCATGACTAACATAACTACAACTGAACCTAATAATGAAATGTACAGTGGACCACAGAACAGTAGACATGGCATCTTGAGGCTCTCACAGCTGAGACTCTTGGTTATTACAGCTGATGTGAAGTCAACGGCCCTGAAACTAATATCTACGCTCTACAGGTTCTTCTCACATGTGACCTCTGGGGTTGAACTTTATATAAAACACAGGAATAAAACTAAACATCAGAATGAATATTATTCCAGTATGAAAAGATAACTACAGTGTAAACTACAATATTAGGTTGTAGTTTCCTCCCTAAGATGATCAGACACGGCAGTAGCTGCCTGACCTTTAAAAACTGCCACAGAAACCACTGGCTCATCTTTTTACCGTCTTTATGTGACTTCAGTTTGTTCACTTTAACATGAGAGGCCGGTTCCTCTTTAGAAAGATTAACATTTCAGGAGGCCGTGAGCACATCTTATAAATCTGAACTCAGTAAAGTGATATGATAACAGTCCAGATCCAGCTTTTATTTTGGTACATCTACATCCTGCTTTGCTCCTATTACTGTGTTTTACATTAACGTCCATATTTTCACAAAGCTCAGATGAGAAGTGAGAAATATACATTCAAGAAATGCAGAATAAAATTATATTGAGGTCAAATAATAAACATGTACATACATATACATGTAGAGTACATGGACCCCACCCACACCCCCCAAATCCCTTCACCCCCCAAAAAAGATTACATTAAGAAAGACAACTGGAATAATACAGAGAAACGAAGGATGTTAAGATGCAAATATTTTGCTCTTCATGTATAAAATGAGTGAAAGTAAAATAAAATGAGCAATGACTGTATATAAACTAAAATATAAAGAGTCTGTGGCTCCAACACAGGAAGCCACATGTGATCAGATTTAGGCTCAGACTCTTCAGGGGAGTCAGGAGCTTTCTAACTCCAGTCAATCTTGGGGAAATATTTTGAGTTCCATAATAGTGAAAATGTTAGTTGACATGCTTCAACACCTCTTCACTTTGCACAGTCATTTCCCTCCTCACCAACATCTCATCAAGTTCTTCAACATTCAACAATACAATCATATATTCTGGAGAAGAACTAATGAAAGGACATATTTACATTTAGGAACAGTCAGCTGTTTGTGGGCACGTGTGAAGAGGAGGAGGAACCCTGGTTTTTGTCTTGCAGGGAGCAGATTTATATACGTTCACCTTGAGTTGTGGAACTGACCATGTTATTATAAAATATCACTTACACTGGGATATATTATAATATACAGAGACTCTCAAAGGTTTCAGTGCAGCTGCTTCAAACCTTTGTTTTCAGGATTAATATTTTATTGTATGACAGTTGTGCTTCTAAAAACTGATAAACATAGGTGAATTTAATTCAATTACTTAATAAAAATTTAAATATTTTATTTTATATATTGTAATATGTTTTAATTTTTTAGTAACAGAAACTAATGTTGTGAAGTAAAACACTGTCAGTCTCTCCTCGTCAGTGTGCTCATGCTCAAAGTCACGTTTAAAAACCTGCGACACACGGACAACACACCTTAACGTTACTTTACATTTTAAATGTTGGTAGCTAGCTAGCATCAGGCTAACGTTATCAACGTTAAATATTTTGTCAGGTTTAGCAGGTCTGCATTAACATAACTCAATTCACAGTCAACTCTCCATATCCATCGCAGCCTGTTTACCTTTGTGGAGGAGATGAAGCCCCGCCCTCACCTGAGGAAGCAGCCAGGTGGAAAGAGGAGCGGGAACTGGAGGGATAGACCTGTTTCTGTCACTGTGGAACAGCAGTGTGTTGAAATGTTTGATATTTGGAGGACTGAACCCAGCGCTGTGATTGGTCAAAGTCTTCTTCTCTTACTCAGTAGACGAGACGCTGCTGCCCCCCTGCTGTTAGACGTGAGTACTGCACGTGCACAATTGAACTCACAGGCATCAACAAGTTTCTGTGTATTTTACAGCAACAAATCGTATCAAAGTACTTTGATGTCAAAATGCGTACCTGCTACGTAGAAAGCGTAAAGGTTGGCAGGTCTGTAACTCACTGAAAGACAGTTTGAGAGGTTTCCCTCAGAGCCTTTGAGTTTTCACTTCTAGTGTTGGACTTAAAGCTTCACTGGGTCACCTGAGGATCAAACCCATGACTGTAGAACACCTGAAGAGTCCTCTAACACCAGAGACACTGGAGACATCATTTCTAAAAGCTTCTGCATTCTCAGTCTTTCCTCTGGGTGTTGGACTTCTGACGTGATCAGGATCAAACACACAACCTCTAAATGTCTCACCACTTGAGACTGTGACAGATTTTGAGTTTTCACTTCTAGTGTTGGACGTCAAACCTTCATTGAGTCACTGAGGATTAAAACACATGACCTCAAAACCTTTGACAAGTCTTCCGCAGCTGAGAGAGACTGGGACAGAAACAAGAACCACTTCTTTCTCTTTGGAGAATTTTCAGTCTTTCCTCTGGACATTGGTTTCAAAGTTAAATCTCTCTCAGGATTGAACCAACAACCTCCAAACTTGTAGAGAGTCATCGACCACCTGGAGCCTCTTGACAAAGACACTGTAAACCTCATTTACTTACAACTTTTCAGTCTTTCCTCTGGACATAAACTTCATCACTGAGAGCCTCAGGACCATTTCACTCGACTGTCTTTGTCTTTTCTCAGACCTTTAAAACAAACTTGAAAACATTTTAGTTTGAACTGAATCAGCTCAATCGTCCTCAGATTCAGAGAGACACTGATCTCACCACTATGCTTTTATTGTGAAAAGACAAGAAAATCAGTTCTACCAAGAAGTTAAAAGTAAACAACAGTTTTATTGTAATAATCGTAGTTCGTCTCTTTAAAAAGAGAGAAGCACAAGAAATACAAATCTGTGTGTCTGAAAAGCGTGAGTGAGTGAAAGAGACAGGACATGTAGAGGACTGTTCAACCGTATCTTTCGAGACAGGAGACTCTCTCTGCTACACTCAACACAGAGACACTGAGGAACCAACGACCAGCAGTACCAAAACCAGGATACAGAGGTTCAGTGAAGGTGGTGTTGAAGGTGTAGAGGTGGATCAGTGAGTCAGTGAGAGACTCTGTAGAAGGACAGAGAGCCAGAGGGACAGTCACATAACCACTGCTACTCTGTCAGAGACAGACGAAGGGGAGGAGGAGATAGGTGTTCTGTCATTGTGCCAGACAGAATAACCACCATCATGAAGCAGATCAGACTCCAGGACTGACATCGTTCTCTCCAACCAACAGTCTTTCCTGTTCCTTTTCCTGTCTGATTCCTCTGGTAACTCACTCGATATATAAACTCCTCCTCTCCACTCGACCTCCCAGTAACAGCGACCAGTCAGACCAGTTGAACACAGCAGCTGAGGCCAGAAGTCAAATTCTGTCTGGATGATCAGGATATGACTGATCCTCCTCCACACGTGTCACCTTCCTGTTGTTGTCAGACAGTTTATCTCTCTGCTGAACTGTGTTTGTGTCGATTGTGACGTTCACAGGAATCTGATGGAGAGACACAAACACAGCTCCAGTTATTGATCACTGTGATCAGTTATGACAGTTTATGATGACTCCTGACATCAGTGATGTGACAGTTTGAAGATGGTTGAATGTGCTGCTTTGTTTTCATCAATTCACATTAAAAACACACTTACACTTCCTCAGACCTTGCTCTCAACCATCGGACTCCACCAGGCTCCCCCTGAAAGGAGGAGGGGGTCAGACCAGCACGTTCTCTGCAGCATGCACACATGACATTACATGGCTCATACACAGACTGTTGGATCACTTGTT